TTGTCATAATGGACCCTCCTGTATCTTAACTACCCTCCAATTCCTACACCACTGACCACTCTTTGACCAGTCCTCCTGGCCTGTTTTCCCTGGCTTGTATATTAGTTTCATATGTAAACAGAATACTCTTGATTTCTCCCTACTTTCCCTGCAAACAGACTTAAATCCCAGAGCTGGTATCATTTAGGTTCAAGCTGACTTGTGCTTTTGAACCTCTTGCAGGAAAGGTTGAACTCATCCTGCATTTCCACTCATGGTGCATTATCAGCCATGGCAGAGGTAACTCTCTCTTCTTGTACTTCCTTGGCAGCTACTCCTCCAAGAGATCCATCCTACTGGAGAGTGTTTTGTGTATAGTATATTGCTTCTATGTGTCCTTACATGAGGGCTGGATAGTTTGAAAGTTGGACATAACTTTCCCCAGTAACAGGGTGTTGTGTCTCTTGCTTTGCCTCTCCCTTTTGTTGTCTGCCCACTGTATTTGTGCAATCTATCCATGGTGTCATGCAGACAGTCCCTGACTACCTGGTGCCTCCCACTTCACAATGTGCCACTGTTTACTACTCACCCAGGGTAGATACTCCATGACATTCAATACTGCCATGGTCCAACACTTCCTGCCCAATACCTTTAAGGTGGTAAAGAAGAAAATTTTTATGGATTCTGTCTGAGTTTTCTTGGACTGTCCTAATATAATGCCATCAACTTTGGGTAGCTTGAGCCAAAGAAATTTATTTTCTCCAAGTTCTGAAGTCCAAGATCAAGGAGGCAAATAGGCTAGTTTATTCTGAGTCCTATCTCCTTGGCTTGCTGTTGGCTGCCTCTGCCTGTGTCCTCTCTGAGTCCATGAAACTCTAATATGTCTCTAGTATGTACCCAAACTTTCTCTTATTACTTCCAGCCAGACTGCATTAGGACACACCCTAAGGACCTATTTTTAACTTATTTTTTAAACAACCTATTTCCAAATCCAGTCACTTTGTGTGGTATCAAAGGACAGGCTTCAATATGGGTTCATATAAGAAACAACTCAGCCCTTAATAGCTCCTTACTATGTAAAATTTGTAAAATTGTAGTGTCTTCAAGCAGTGCATGCTTGATTTGACCACATGTATACTTCCAGAAGGAATGAATGAGAGCCCCTAGAGTTTAAGCCCCAACCGCATTTGGCATATAATCCAGCTTTCTACTATTTCTATTATTGCTGGCCCAGTAGGTTTAATGCTATCCCCTTATTTTAAATTTCATGTCATATGCTTTTTAGTATTCAGGATTTTCTCTTCTGTAAATAGCCTGCTAATATTCTTTACCCATTTTTCTATTGAAATTTTCTTTTTTCAGCGTGATTGCAGACTGTTCTTATACAGTCCAGATAATAGTTTCAGACAGTGCTAATATCTTCTCCATTCTGATATTTGTCTATTAACTTTGTCCATAGAGCATTTCATGAAGCAGCTGAAATCTTCCCCCATTTTGATGTGCTCAAAATCACCAATTACTTTTCCTTACAGTTTGACCTTTTGGAGCTTTGTTTGAAAAGACTTTCCATGGGTTTAGATCACAAAAAGAATCTCCACATATTCTTTCATTAACTTTATGGTTTCATCTTTCAAATTTGAGTCTTCAGTCCATCTAGACTATACCTAAATAAGCAGTGCTAGGAAGGAAAGTACCTAGAAACTGTCTGGATTGCCTATTCTTCCCAACATCACTAAGTGATGTGTCCCCCATTAGCATGCGAAAATGGAGTCACTGTCACTTTGACTAAATTGCTATATACTTGGGGAGACTGACCCAAGCTTTCCATTGCCTTCCCTGGGTCTCATGCCTTTTCGTGTGCCAACACCCCATTAGCTTTATTATTGTTTTAACCTCAAATTCATGATGTATATCTTGATGAACTGCAAAGGTAAGTTTACCCATTACCCTTTTTTCTTTTTAATAGTTCATTTTGCTGTTCACAGAAATGTATCCTTTATGTAAAACTTTAAGTAAATTTTTTTAAAATACACACACAGCTGGAATTTGATTAAAGGGACCACAGAGATAGCTCAAAGGGCTAGAATGTAGGCCTGGCATGACATGGGTCCCCAGGTTTGATTCTGGGTACTGCATAGCTTTGATAGCCCCAAAACCATTGGGAAGATCTCTGAAAATTATTATTAGAAAGGTATTGAGTCTCTAGATTAACTTAGAAACAATTGTAATATGTTTGAACATGTATTCAAATTGCCTTTTAAATTCTTGGGTTTTAAAGTCTTCCCATAAAGAACTGTATGTTTCTGATTAAACTATCACATTAATAGACTTTGTTGATAATGCAAATGATATTGGTTATATTTTCTATATACTACCTAAAATTGATAGTAGTTTTATTTTTTTCCTCACAACCCTTAGAGCCTCCTTTTCTTTTTATTCCTTATAGATATAGCCAGGAACACGTTTTCTGAATGGTGAAAATAGTGGTCATGCTGGCAAAAATGTTCATCTCATTCCTAATCTTAGTATTTCTCCAATGGGGAGCTGGAACAATAGTACAGCAGGTGGAGCATTTGCCTTGAATGTGGCTGACACGGTTTTGATCCCCAGCACCCGATTTGGTCCCCCAAGCATTGCCAGGAGTAACTCCCAAGTGCAGAACCCAGAAGACCCTCTGAGCATCACCAGGTGTGACCCCAAAAGCCAAAAAATATTCTCCAATTAATTAGTTTAAATCATTCTGATTTAGTTTATGTGGTATGTAATCCTTACAATGCTAAGGAAATTTCCTCCTTCAACTTGCACAACCTTATGAAAGTTTGTATTATTTTAGATAATCACAAGATTTTTCTCCAGTAGGCATTAATGAAGTGAATTACATTGATTTTCTGATGTTGAACTCTACTTGTGTTCACTGAGCAAACCCCAGGTAGAGTTTATGATGTATTATTTTTCAGTGTATTTTGTTTCAGTTAGCATTTTTGTTTGTTTTATTGCATCTATGATTATAAATGTTTTGCTTCTAGGGTTTATATCTTTATCTTATAAAAACTGATGCTGGAATCAAGTTTTTACAACTGAGTAAGATGAGCTAGGAAGCTACTGCTTTTCTCCTAATTTCTAGAACAACTCTTTCTTAGGTTCAGAAGAATTCCTTTGGAAGAATTGTCTGAACCTGCGGTATTTGATTCGGGCCGAGAAGAGGCCCTATTTCATTAGCATCTCAAGTTCTGTTCCCTGTTGTTTCTGTTCATAGATACATCTCAATCCCTACGCCCCAACCCATGCTGCTCATGGTCTTTGTCTTTGAAAGTCTGGGTTCTAGGGCAGAATTTGAATCCTCTGTTTATAATGAGCCAATTTCACTGTCCCCCCTCCCGATTGGCCCCTGACAAGCCATCTGTGCCTCTTATTCTGCTCCTATGAGCTTTATCAAGGTTCTCACTGTGTCTCTCTCCATCGATAGGTCATTCGAGTTTGTGTATCAAATATGGCCTTTATCTTTCATGAAGGCCTGTTTCTCTGAACACTGAAAATAGGTTTCATTCAAGATATTATAGGTGACCAGTGTCTACGTTTTAAATGCTTTTCCCCTTGACACAAGCATTAAGCGTTGAAAGCTTTGAATGGAAAGACTTCGTGGTCAAACTTGGCATCAGTCTAACACATTCCTGCTCTCCGTGCCTGGGGAATTTCCCAACCCTACAGCCAAGCCTCATCCCCTAAATGCCTCTCCAGCTCATATGGATCAGGAGGAAAGGGACTCTCACCAAACCAGAATTGAGCTGAATGCTTGGCTCTGTGGTGCAATGGATAGCTCATTGGACTTCTAAACTAGAAGTGAGCAGAAACTCTACCTTCAAGGTGATGGCCACGGTCTCTGGGGAAAGGGCTGTGCCGAGGAAAACTTGCCTTCCCGGAGGTGCTGACTCATTCACTATAAGCACAGACTGAAGCTTCAAAGGGAACCAGGCACAGGTTTCCATGTTGTGTTGTTCCTTTGTTCCCTCTCCAATGAACCTTCGTCTTACTGAAACCAATGACAGACAGGAGGGGCCTTCCTCTCCCACCTCCTCAAGGAGCTCATCACCTCCTGAGAAAGCCCAGCACCTACGGGCTGAAATCATAGTACATTGGGGAGGGTATTTGCCTTGCATACAACCAACCCACGTTTGATCTCCCAGAACCTCATATGGTCCTCTGAGCTCCATCAGGAGTGATCCCTGAGTATAGAACCAGGAATAAGCCCTGAGTACTGCCAAGTATAGCCTTAAATTTAAAAAAAAAAAAAAAGAAAAGAAAGGAAAGAAAGAAAGAAAAAGAAATCCCAGCATCTAGGCCAGAACTTAAAAGTTACATACTCTGATAACAGAAGCAATGTCCAGGGCTGAGGAAGGTCTGAGGACTACTGTCTAATGAAGCCCCCCAGGACCACACACACTGGCAGGGATCGGTGAGGAGCACCTTTCAGAGTCCAATCCCACTACACATTATAGGTGGGACTTTCTGCAAGCTGCTCAGCTTCCTAAGTCTCTGTTTCTTCATCTGTAAGATGGGTCTCCTGGCGCCTGCCTCCTGTGCAGAGTCAGGAACACAGAGGGGGCCCCTGCAAAGAGCAATTATCCTGCTTGAGCAACATACAGCAGGTAGGGCTTTGCCTGCATGCAGCCAGCCTGGGTTTGATCCCCGGCATCCCATATGACCCCTCAAGCATGCCAGGAGTGGTTCCTGAATGCAGAGCTAGGAGTAACCCTTAAACTTCGTTGGGTATGATCCAAAAATCCAAAAAAGGGGCTGGAGCGATAGCACAGTGAGTAGGACGTTTGCCTTGCACGTGATCAACCCGGGTTTGATCCCCGGCATCGCATCCCATATGGTCCCCAAGCATCGCCAGAAGTAATTCCTGAGTGCAGAGCCAGGAGTAACCTCTGAGCATCGCTGAGTGTGACCCAACGGGGAAAAAAAAAGCCAGAGCAGGTTCCCTGAGGCTGATGCCAGGGATTCTATGCTTCTGCCTGTAGGTGACCACACCTGATGGACGTGGCAAGAACCGAGCCAAGTGGGGTCTGCTGAAGAATATCCAGACAGCCCTCCAGAAGCGCTTCTGAGCCTCCCGCAGAGCAGACAGCACGCTCAGAGATGCCCGAGTCCAGATGCCTATACAACAGATGTATTTTTCTCGCTGCATCCTGCGGCAGCACTGTAGCCTACGTTCCCGGGACCTCCGTGCTCCTCCAGCAGGAGTTTCTGAGAACCAATAAAAGGAAAAGCCTGACAACCTGAGTTTCATTTGCTCATTAGACAACAAAGACAGACCCGTGGGTCCTCAAGCGCCTCCGTCTCCAGGAGCTCATCTGACCCTCGGGCTCAGATCTCACAAAGCTTTATAGCTTCCTCCAGGCAATCAGGCCCCAGGCTGTGACTTCCCACCTGCTAACTAGCTGGTGGGGTCACTCATGCACCTCGCTCTGGCTGGCTTTGGTGGAAATGGTGCTTCCTAAGAATCCAGCCTATACCTGTATTCCTGATCCATGAAAAATAAGCACGCTGGAGGCCAGAGCAATTGTACAACAGGTAGAGCATTTGCCTTGTACGCGACTGACCTTTGTTCTATCCCCAGCGTCCCATAACATCCCCTGAGCACCACTAGGAGTGATCCCTGAGCACCATCAGGTGTGACCCAAACACAAACAGTAAAAATCAGAGCACTTCCCTGTTCCCCGGAGTCCATGGGGCAATGCAATGCTGGCTGGGGGGTCCCAGTGGTTCTGGGGAGCAAGGCAGGGAGAATGGCAGGATTTTTCTCCACCTCCAGCTTCTTGCAGAAATCAGCCTGACCTTCCAGGTACCATGAAGCCCCTGAGGTTTCCCCCACTTCCCAGGCTCTGCTGCCTGAAACAACCCTCTCTTGAACCCCACCCCATTTCTGTCCAGAAAACTCTGATTTCAAGACCCACTTAACAGCTTCTTCCAAAAGGTCTTGGACTGACCCCTTCCTGAGTGCTCCTCCCCCACTGCCCACCCCCGGCACCCAATGGTGGAGCCATCTTTTACAAGTCTCAGTGCCTGTGAGACTTAGGAGCTGCCACTTGTCCCCACGCTTCAGGGTGCAGCACTGTCTCATTTGTCTGATGTGGTGAAGCACTCAGTGTACTAAGGGGTGGGGAGCAGTTGCTGGAATGACCTCCCTAACACCCACCCCCAGTCACCCAAACCATGGCAGTGGGTATGGAAGGCAGCTGGCGGCCCCTTCTGTGCCCACCCCTGCGGGAATTGCCAGCCCATCAGGATCATGGCAGGGTCCCTTCTTTACCACACACCCCTCTCTTTCTTGCACCTTACACAGCCCTTTCCCCTGAGCGGTCCTTGGTGAAGATCGTGTAATATTGGAGATGAAGTCCTGCCAACTCCCACCCACGCCCATCTGGACCACTGGGAATTCCCTGGGAACTTCCTGCTGAGCCTATTACAAAAAAAAAAAAGGCTCGCCTCTGCCATCAGATTGAGTATTAGCATATCATTTCTGCAAAAGGCTTTTGGGATCATCATTAGTGCGGGGGAACAAATTAAATGACATGCCGGCAGGGATTTTACTACTGATAAACTGAAATGAATTTAAAAAAAAATAGAACAGCGTCCCAGTCACGGAGCCAAGGGGCTGGCAAGAATCCAGTTACAAGGCCTTGCGCTGTCGCTCAGAGAGTGGACCCTCAGCCCACATGTCAGTCTGTGGGGTCACCGGTGTCACTTACTCAGGAGCAGAGCTGTCTCGGCAAGGCCAGAGGGGGTGCTTGTCATGGAGAGAATCACACTGGATGAGGGAGGGTGGGGGGATGGGTGTGGAGAGTCATACCTGGGGTCTCAGGCAAAGCCTGTGCTATACTGCCAAGTGACAGCCCTGCCCACTCCCCTTTGTGCTAGTTTGAAGTGTCCCCTGACCAGATTCTGTGAGTGACCATCACAAGGGTAGCCTTTATTTCCCACACAGAACTACCAATTTGTTTTCCTTATCATGAGCAACTTGAGATTTTGCTCTCTAAGCAACGTGTACCTGTGTAAACAGTTTAATCACACACCATGGCGCTCACCATCCCCCATGACTCACATCTCATACCTGGACACCTGCACCTTTGACTCCCCCACTCCATTTAGCCAACAAAAATTTCTACAAACCATCCAGGGCCAGAGGTATGACACCCATGGGGTCACCCTCCCAAGACCCTTTTCTGGAATGTAAGGGTTGATAGGCATGTCCCAGGCCCCAGTTCTGTCCTTGACATGATATACAGTCCCTGAGCACTGCCAGGAGTGATTGCTGAGTGCAGAACCAGAAGTAAACCCTGAGCACCACTGCTTATAGCCCCAACATAAACAAGAACAACAATTATTGAGACCAGAGAGATAGCGCAACAGATAAGGTGCTTCCTTTGCTTGTGACCAAGCAGAGTTCCATCCCCAGCCCCCCATATGGTCCCCTGAACACCACCAGGAGTGATCGCTGAGCTCAGAATCAGGAGTGAGTGCCCAAAAACCACTGGGTGTCACCCAAGGCCCTCCCACCACCCCCTAACCCCCTGGCCCAGAGGAAAACTGCAAGAAACATGACAGAGAAGAAAGGTGTGATCTACACAGTAAGTTCTTCCCCATTTACTGAGTGACCCTGTGTCAGGCCCTCTCATTCTTCCTCCAAACTTTATGTGCCTGAGTTCGGTGTTTTACACCAGTTCTAAGAAGGGGTAATAAGGACCAAGATCCACCAACTGCACACGAGTTTGCCCAGAGCAGTCAATGAGCCAGCATGGCTTTATGAGACCGGGAATGTGGCTCAAGGGGTAGGGACACGCCATGGACATGCCTAGCATGTATAAGATCTGAATTCCATCCTTGTGTGTCCCCACACACACCTGAGTCCCTCCACACACAGCCCTTGGGATCCCAGAACACCACTGGGTGCGACTCCCTTTTTTTTTATGTGTCTGAATGCTGAGTCTAACTAAGATCCACCCCCAGACATGATGCACCACAATGTCCTCTGTGTCTATTTCACATCCCTTCAGCCCTGCCGTAGAGAGGACCGTGGCCGGAGGCACAGATTATGAGTGATACCAGCTTCCAGAAACGTTTGCAGCCTGTTTATATGTGCTAGTGCTAGCTAAGGCAAGGCAGCTTTCTAGCTTTCTTCTCTTCCCTCCTCTCTCTCGCTCTCATTTCAGATTCATTCATTCATTTAGTGCCTCTGTGATGAAGCCAGGGACTGGGGGGGAAGGCAGGGATTGTGGGCGAGAAGGGCTGAGCATAGCAGCAAATTCAACGCTGATATCTTACAGGGTAAGGAGAAAGAGCACAAAGAGATGAGTGTGTAGGAGGCTAGAGAAGATGAGATGGGCTGAAAGTTGGGAGGTATCTGCTTCCAAAATGGGGGAAATGGGGAAATGCTGTGTTCCCCACAAATTCATCATGATCATGATCACGATCATCCTGTTGTTCGTCAATTTCCTCAAGCAGGCACCAGTAGCATCTCCTTCTTCCTAACCCTGAGATTTTAAAGGAGCCATTTCAATGCTCTTTCAGGATTAGGAGAATGAGACCCATCATTGTTAGTTACTGGTATTTGGCATATTGAGTACGACACGGGAAGTTTGCCAGACTCTGCCGTGTGGGCAGGATACTTTTGGTAGCCTGCCAGGGTCTCCAAAGGAAAAGTAAGATAATAAGATGTGCTTCCGGGAGCTGGGTTTTATAGCCTCTGCGTCTTGGCCATTGATGGGACCAACCTGGCGCTGGCGGCAGCTTGTGGGTGTGACGCCTACCTACTGGAAGATGGGGGGTCTGGTAGGAGAAGGCCCAGTCCCAATCTGAGTAGGCTTGGAGACCTCAGCCCCGGGACCCGCATGCCTGGGTTCCTCTGCCAGAGTCTCCTGCCCCCGCGCCTGGCTGTCCTCACTGGGGCCCCTTGGAGGGGGAGGGTTGAGTTTCTCTTCCCCTCCGCCCCCCCGCCCTGAGCAGAGCCCCAGCAGCTGAGGACCTCCGGAGCCAGCCACAGCCATGCTGGGACCACTCTCCACACGTCCGGACGGGCCTCATGCATGAAAGAACTGGCAGAGGAACCCACAAATTCATATCCCTAATAAATTGCCAACCCCAATGTGATGGTTTGTGGTAAGAGCTTGAGGTGGCTGGTGAGAGAAGAACATGATGAGGGGATAGTGGGGGTTGGAGTGTGACTTAGAGGTCAGTTGGCAAAGGCAAGCCACGTGCACAGCCCCAGATCTACACTAGGATCCAATCCCGAAGGCCAGCCTTGGTGCTAGGAGACCCAGTTGATAACCAGCACCGAGGGCTGAGATGCAGTGCCCTAGGACAGCCTGGGCTGGGGACACAGACCAGCATCAGTACATGAGACTCATTTTCTAGCACATTCACACATCAATTGCCTGAACTCCACAAAGTACCTTGGAGTCAGCAGAGACATGAAGCTGCTTCCTGTATGCAGGTCACTTCCTGAGCATGAGGTGGCCACAAGGCCCATTTGGAGAGCCATTAGGCACTTGTCTCTGTGCTTGGTCTCTCAGTGCCCAGTCTAGCCACACAGCAGAATCATCAACAGAGCCTTTAAGAGGGGCGACTGTGGTGGTTCCCTTCGGCCCACTTATGGGATGTCGCAGGCAGGGCTTGACATCTGTCTTTTCTGACAGCGTCTGAGTGAGCCAGGATGGCTCTCTCCCACCCCACGCCGGAAGCAGCGTTCACACTGCAAGGGGACAGGCTGAGGTGCAGAGGGAAGGCTGCAGGCGCAGACAGAAGAGTGCAGGGGGCCAGGACCAGATTGGGGGGGGGGGGACAGAAATCAGACTCAAATTCTCCAAGCCTCAGCCTTAGCATGTCTGCCTCTTTGTCCTGGGAGGTCATTGCTGGTGTTGGTATCTCAGTTCTCTCACTTTGGAATAAAGAAAGGGGTCTGTGTGGGGGCCGAAGAGGAGCTAGAAGTCATGCTCCCAAGTCCACATCCTCCAACCTGACCCCTACCCCATCCCACACACACACCTCTCACATTCACATAAGCACACTTGTATGCATACACACAGTGTGGACACAGACACACAAATAC